GATGAAAAATTTTTAAATGTTTATTTATTTGTTTATATTTAAATTAAAAACATGAGACATGTTTTTACAATAAAATATTTGATACACCCTCTGATTCAACATTCGGTTCAACAGTTTTTGATTTAGTCATTAAAAATATAATATAAATATAATTAATTCAATTGATTCCTGTATTATATGTGTATAATTATATCATTGTATTTATCTGTTTTTAATTTTAAATTAAAAATAATAATTTTTTAATAACTAAACCAAAAAATATTGAATCAAATATTAAAAATTTAAGGTGTACCAACCATTATTCTTTTTATAATAATTCACTGACACAGTCTCCTCCCGGCCAGTCACTGGCATGGAAACTAAAATTAATTTAACCCACCCACCACAAAAACTAATACTCCATTTTTATTAATTGATTACCTCAATTGGTGGTGGGTGTCGTCCTAAAAACTTAGATATTTGTTAGTGACTTCAATTGCATAGTCAAAAAGTTATACAGTTCTTATTCAATGCTTCTGTCTTGACTGCACAATAGAGAATTTTGATGTTTATTTGACACGTTAATTAGACGAAAATACTAGTAGTTGTTGGTGGCTTTGGTGTGTGATCAAAGAATTAGCATATACTAACAATTTTGGGGCCTAGAATATGTCCATTTCATTTTGGTGTCATTTTCATCTCCTTGTAAGGCACTCAAAGGTCACAGCATCGTTGTCTTTTGTGAAAACTATACACGTGAATTTCAATATAAAAATTATATTTAATTTAAAATTAAAAGTTGTAATTCTCTCTCATGTGCATGCTTAGTATAAATATCAAGTTCTATTATATGACTTAATAAATTCTTTTTACACAAATTTGTTAAGAAAGAATCATATAGATTTTGATATTATATGAAAATTATATATATAAATTTTAACATAAAAATTATATTTAATTTAAAATTAATTAATAATAAATAAAATAATTCTCTTTATATTTAACTCATATATATTTTTTTTATTATACATTCAATATGAGGTTTTTTCCATTCAATATCATTTCAGAATTTAAGATGGCCGGGGAGAAGAGAATTGAAATGATTCAATTGGGTATGATCGATTAGGATGAGATGGTGATGGTGGTAATGCAACAATTTTGAAGCGTTCATGGCTTCAAATTGACTCTAGATGCGCCATCAATAGCCACCCTCAAACTAACGATCTCATCATCTTTTAATGCATCGTCCGTTTGATTTAATAATTTCCTTTTCTTTTACCTTTTAGGGCTGCCAAACTTCCAAGTGGTGGGAGAAGTTTGGTAAACACAGATAGCTCAGCAAACTCGTAGGCTTTATCTAGAAAAGCTTTTAGTCAGGGAGGGACCTCAGTCTACAATATTCCAAGAAAGAGATAAGTCAGGGTTTGGCATGGATCTGATGGTAACCCAGAATTTGTCTAACCAAATATGTATATGGACCCTACCATGACTACTTGCTCTTATTATTTTTAAAAATAAACTGAGCACGTATTTTTTTTAATTTTTTGAATGAAGTTGTTAGGCATGATTATGGGATGGCAAACTTTCTTAGTGTTTCATTTGAAAATGATTTCAACTTGGAAAGATGATTTCCTCACTGTATTCAGTGATTGGTGAACCAACCATGAACATGCACCAAAATACCTAATGCAGTGGGACATCAATTTGGTATATGGATATACGTGTTATTATTAGAAAACACTTGTTTATCAGTTAATTTAAGTTTTATTTTATGATTTATTATTATTATTATTTTGCAACTCACACTTTTAAAAGTGTCGAGAATAAAAAAAACATTAAACTATTTGTGTGCATACAGACTAGATTTTATTTTTCTTTTTCTTTTGGAACAAATATAAATTTGAGAGAGGAAGAATTCAAACTCAATATTGGGATGCACCTTTCTTTAAGGTTTATAACTAATTGGCCTCTTTTGTCATAAGAGTATAAGATACTTTATCAAAAAATAATAATAATGGTAAGAGTACAAGAGACTACCTTAGATATAGTATTACAATCAACCTTAATGAAGTCAATATCCAAATGAGATCCATTTGAAGGATTTATAAAGTAATGGAAGTGGTTTTGACGTGTTGAAATTGATCCAAAAAGGTTAAAACATCATGATAAAGACGCTACCATACAACAATTCAAATATAATTATTCTCTTCTGTTTTTAGTGGATACATGTCCATAAGAAATTTAATGTTTGCTTTTTTCCCTTTCTTTTCTTCTTTAACATGAAATGAATGGCCTCGGCTGCTTGGAGCTTGGGTTGGGCCTATAGCCCCTCAAGGCTCGGGCATCCTCCCCAAACTGACCCATGACTCAAAGAATCAATATATAGGAACAAACCATAGACCCAAAGTCCATTTAAGAACCAAAACCGATGTGGCCTATATTTCAGGTCGGTTCTATTGTAGCCCTTGGCACGCCCCCATAACCCCCTGCGGTCCAAGTGGTAAGCCCTGTTTCTAAGTGTACATGTTGGAAGAAACACGTACGGGATCACCAAATCACTGCTGAAGCAAAATGAACCCAATTGAGTAGATCCACACCACTGCAAATTTGCCTGTCATTGTGGAGCAAGCAGAAATGAAAGGCACTTCCTAATTTCAATCAATAGAAGTGAAGGCACTTGAATTGAACCATTCAAGTTAGGCAAAAATGCTGCTTGATTGACTACCACTAGGCTACCCCTGGGAAAAACAATGGCCATATTGTGTCGGGAAACCTCAGCACGAGTGCTCCACAGTGGCAAACACTAACAAAGGTGTTGATCACATATCTCTTCCATTGGAAAGCTAGTTGATGTGCCTTATGAATTATTGCTGCTCCCCAGTTCATTGGAATCCTACCTACTGTGACTTTGAATAACCCCTTTTTCTTATTTCTTTGTCAAAAAGACTATGATGAATGCTTTTGATTGCAACAAAAACTCCTTTTTGTTATATATATCTTTTATGATTAAGTTCTCATTATATTAATTTGTACATATTTCAAAATTAATTCTTTATTAGTTTTATTAAAAGCAAGTTGTTCATACTAAAATTGAAAAATTTATGAAAAACTATCTATTCATTATCCTTTTCAAAAAATTAAATCTTAATCAATAAAATGAGACAAAACCCAACTCTTTAATTATTAAAAACACTCATTTAATTTAATTCATGTAAAATGTCATATAATTAGTCTGTGACATTACACAAGGTCATCCCTAACCCACCATGATAAGAAGTATGTGTGCAGTTATATTGGCACAAATCCTCTATATAAACATGTAAATATGCTATGTATTTGCTTGTGAATCTCATTTTAAGGAGAGTGTCCCTAAATTATAAGCATAAAGAGTCATTTCTTCCCAACCCCTCAATGGAGAATCCTGTAGAACCAAAATTTGAAGTACACTTAACAAGAAGCAGCATTGTGAAGGCTGAGAGTCCCATGCCCCACCCTCATATCCTCACACTCTCAAACCTTGACCTTCTCTCCGGCCGCTTTCCTGTGACATACATCTACTTTTATAAGAAACCAGAGCTTCCCACTGATGACTTCACATCAATAGTCAAGTCTCTCAAGACTTCTCTGGCCAGTGTCTTGAATCTGTACTACCCCTTTGCCGGAAGAATAATTGATGATCCTAACACAAGGGAGCCCAAGATCATATGTGACAACACCGGAGCCTTGATTGTAGAAGCCAGTGCCAATATACCTTTACAAAAATTTGACTTCTACAATCTTGATGAATCCTTTACTGGGAAATTAGTATCTGTAAACTCAGAATTTCCTTTGCATGTCCAGGTAACACATTACACTTGTGGAGGTGTGTCAATTACATTCACTTTCGATCATGCTCTAGGGGATGCAAGTTCCTTCGGTAAATTTCTCCTGTCATGGTCTGAAATTGCACGGAAGGAGGCGGTATCTTGCATCCCAGATCACCGGAGAAATCTCCGAGCACGTTGTCCTCCGACACACCACCCTTCTTTGGACCAAACCTTTGTGAAGTGCACTATTGAAGAGATCCAAAACGTGCCTAATTTCAATACCCTGCTCAAGCGCCTTTATTACATAGATGCCTCAAGCATTGATCGGCTTCAGGACCTCGCCTGCGCTAATGGTAAGAGAAAGACGAAAATTGAGGCTTTCTCTGCGTATATATGGAAGATTATGGTCGCTGCCTTGGATAAGAAACATGAGAAGTGCAACATGGGGTGGTTGATCGACGGACGAGGGAGGCTCGGCGCTGGAGACAAGAACCCCGCGTCGAATTACATAGGGAATGTTCTGTCTTTGGGAATCGGAGAGGCCAGCGTGAGAGATTTAAAGGAGGGAACTTTATCGGACGTTGCGGAGAATGTTCATGAGGTAATCGCAAAATCAACAAAAGAGGATCATTTCTTGGATTTGATCGATTGGATAGAGTGCCACCGGCCGGGATTGATGCTATCGAGGGCGGTTCTGGGTCAAGGAGGCCCGACGGTTGTTCTGTCATCCGGGCGGAGGTTTCCGGTGGCTGAACTGGACTTTGGGTTTGGAAGTCCGGTGTTGGGGACAGTTTATTCGACCGTAGAGAGGATAGGAGTGGGGTACTTGAACCAGAGACAAAGTGCTAGGAATGATGGGTCATGGACTATATCGGCCATCTTGTGGCCGGAACTGGCTGCAGCGTTGGAGTCAGATTCAGTTTTCCAGCCAATGTCTGCCACCCATCTTTCATTCTGACTCAACGTAAAAAAATAGAACACCGAACATTTATGTAAACAAAAAGGTGTTGGAAGAATAGGTGGGATCGGACTTCTTAATATTGAGGGTTATCCCTAATTTATAATCTTGAGGGTTGTTTCTAATGTAGCGGTTCTTGTTTTGCAGTTTAGATTGCAAAACAAGATTCTCTTCTTGTAAATTAGGAAAAACCTATGCTTGTCTTTTCTCTTCTTTGTTTCTGGCATATAATTTATGGATTCTGTGTATATATCATTTACTGAGTTATATTTGAGCTACAACAATGAACAACTAAGTATTCTTCCTTTGGAAGAGTTACAAAAAGAGCTATATTTTGTATGGTGATCTTTAGAAGTATTCCTTGTGGAATTCAAATCGTGTTGATGTTTTGTGACTTAGCTCGCTTGATAGCTTTTTCAACTCCTTTGCCAAAACTGGGAGTCCGCAGTAGAACACTCCTATTGTGGTGTTTGGATGCTTTGAAGCTACTTTTGTGAAGACTTCTTTCCAGTTTGGTCTAGCAAAATGTGTTCTCACCTGCAGGAAATTGATGTCATTAGGTTATTTACTAGTTAGGCCAACATTTTCCTGTTAGCCAAACAGAATTTTCACTAGGAAGAAAATAAAGAGCATACTCTGGTGCCTGACAGAATATCAAAACCATGCTTAGCATGGTTGAGAGCTTGGACCATGGTGATTAAGGTTGATCTTGCATCCCCCTCTTCATAGACACTTGTTAGGTAGTTGTGTAGCTCAATCTGACCCTGTGTCAAAGAAGAACGAGACAGGACTCAGCAACTTTGATATAGCTTATTCCTGGGAGGATAGGAACTTACATGCAAAATTATACGTCATATTTACTTTGTGATCCAATTCCGCGACTTCATCCATTACTCCTTTAAACCATTCAAAGGAGCCAAGTTCCCTGGTAACCCAGTAGAAGTAGGCATTTCTAGTCCTGGATGCCTTCCTCTTTCCTGAAGGTGTCAAACTTGTAGCTGGAGCAAAACTTGATGATGGAAAACTATTCCAGCTATCTTCTTCTGATCTAGTAATTTGACTCATTTCAGTGACTGAATCCTGTGTACCATTATCATGAGTTAATTAATTAATTGATTCAAAACTAGTCAATTATGAGGAAAACGGAAAGGTATAACTTAAAGCCTGACTTGTACCATTTGATCTTCTGCTGCTCTTGTATTGTTTAGAAGATCTTTAAGGATGCTTATAAAAGGGGTAGCTCCAATTCCAAGTCCCAAAAGAAGCAAGACATCATAATTCCTGTAGTCTTGTGCTGGAGCCCCATATGGACCATCAATAAGCAATTTGGGTTGGCTGCATTAATTGAAAACATAAACATTTACATGATAATAATTCAGCCTAATCATCAAAAGAAATACGCAAGGCTAAACCAAAAGAACAAAGGCTTTTACTGGTCTATTACATTTGCTGATCTATCTGCCCTGGTTTACCAAATTTGGCTCGACCAATGACAGAGGGAGAGTTGCTAACATCAGTGAAAACTCGCTTCAATTCTCGTGTCCAGTCTCCTACTGTCCGGATATGAACACTAAGATAGTCATCTGCTGGAGCTGAGGTAATAGAAAAAGGGTGCCTGGAATAAGACATATATTGTTAGGTAAAGTTCAGGACTTCAAAAACATTTCAAAAAATTTCCATGATAATAATAATAATCTAAATGAATCCCACCATTCAAATGAGGAGATTGATGGACACTGTAGAAATATGTATTGTCCACTTTTATATGTGAATCCTGGTGGTTTTGACATAACCAAGCTTAAGACATTCCCTGGAAGTACTGAAACCTGTTCATGTCAGAAAGAATTTGTAAAACTCACAAACTTTGAAAAAAAAATTATCTGTTTCTTGTCATGTGTTCATGTTTCCAAATCAATTCATGCAATAATTGTTCAGAAAAGGAAATATAATGTTTGTTGTTCTGATGATCAAGTCACATGAATGTCATATAAAGAAATCAAACATCTTCTGATTACATATGGGACCTTCTCTTTTTTAAATTATTGGACATTGGACTTCAATTATTAGACAACTTGTGCCGATCATAAAAAAAAAGAAAATTATTAGACAACTTGTAATCAAACTGCTAAAGAAAGAAAATTTTATGGATTTACCTTGAATATTTTTACTGAATAATGTTCTGCCCTACATGTTCTTATGCTGCGCTCAGCTATGTAAAGCAACAGTGGAATGGAGATATACATCCATGTCTGCAACATCAACACATCATTGGCAACCTACTGATAACAAAATTCTTCCATTCATAGAAAATGATGTTAAAATTCTCACCGTTTTCTGATTCCACTTGTGGGTCAAGAACAGGAATGTTCCATGGACAAGTAGCAAAATGTAGACTAGACCGAGAAGATGATGGGAGTACCAGAATGCATTGAATCCTGTCAATCTGTTGAAGGGTGCAGGAAGCCTCAATACATTTTTACGAAAATGACTGGTTGCCAATGTGAAGGCAATGGCCATCAAAATCACCATGGAAATCCCAGTGAGGACCTCAACACAAGTCAAAAGTTCTTTATATGTGGGAATTTTGCGATTGAAATCAGAGGATATCAGGGCAAATTTTTCTGGAGAGGAGTATATGAGGCGGGGGAAGTCACAGGATAGGTGTATTCCAGCATGAACTAAGATCCCAATGACTATGGCACAAGCAATCATCTGTAAAATTAAAGGAAACAGAAATAATCAATTTCAAAATCTGAGACAAACCTGAGCTCAACTGCATCCATTGCAAAAACAAGCATTTAGCAGAAGAAGCCTATATCAAGGGAAAAATTTAGTGAAATTCAACAGTTTCCTTTACCTTGTGAAAATTAATGTTGTCATCAAAAGGGACAAAGGACCTTGCTCTGGTGGACCGGAGCCTTGTCAATGTGTTTCTACAAACAGGTAAAAGAATCAGAGCCATGTTGAGCTTGAGAGTCTCTGCAGCTCCTTTGGCAGTGCACAAGCAGTATCCCATGACATGAAAGGCCGCCATGTTTTTGTACTGGAAAAATTTCCAGACAAATAGAGAAGCCATTGCCATCATCCAGAGCAACAAAACCCAGCCCCTTCTCCAGTTTTCTAGTATCAGACACCGTAGAGTTAAGCTTGCTCTCCGGATCACATTTTTAGGTCTGAATGAGCTCACGTTCTGACTCCGGCCTACACCACTAGCCGTGCTGAGTGGTCTGCTGTAGTTCATGTAGTTGTCCCTTTGGAGGAGAAGAGTTTCCAGCTGCCATAACTGAATGCCAAGGCGGATCCTCAGTTCTATGTATACATTACATATTTTATGTTCCTAAGGGAACAAGATTTAATCCTGAAAAATTGATGTTTTACCTCAATATATCCAAGATTTTCAGGATCCAATTCTTCCATGATTAATGCAGCATATTCTTCTGCTTGTTCTTTCAGCTTGGAAAGCTTGTTTGCTGAAGCACTAAGCATTATAAGCTGTGTTTCAAAAATAAATGAAATAAAGGCAATGGATTTGCAGCAATTTATGGTGCCAGACTGCAAGATTTTTGAAGGCATAAAGATTTAAGATTTTAGTCAAACACTATTTTTCTTATTTCTGAACTGTTATGACACTATTCCTTCTCATTTCTTGTAAACCATCCAATTATTTCCTTTTAATCGACCTGAGTTAGGACTATTCACCTCCCTTAATTACCGTTGGAACTCCACAAAATCTCCTTTTTTTTTTTTAATTAATTCTGTAAATAATTACAAATGGTTAAAAAAATTATTTCCTTTTAGCAATCAAAGATTGAAAACAGAAGTCTGATCGTACTGACTATGCAATAGTGGAAAATTGACACTGTTTTGACGTCAAATGATTAAGAAAAGTTGAGGAGATTCCCAACCTGACCAAAGCACATGGAAGATAGAGTCAAAAAAGATTGTTTCACCTAACAACGTGAATTCTACTTCTACCCTCCTTTCCTCTAAAAAATTTGTCCCCTCTCAATAAATTAATGAAAGTAGAAGTCAAATCTCATACCATCACATCTTCTTGTGAAATTAAGAAGCCATACCTCCTGCACTTCTTCTCTTGTAATTCTTCCATCTTCATTACTATCAGCCCTGAAAAAATAAATCATTAAATTAAGTCATTTGACTTGACTTGAGTAAGATTGATAATTTTTTATTAGAATATATAAATGAAAAATATGTATTTTTTTTTACTTTTTCAAGTAATAGATATTTCTTATTTTTTTTCTAATATAAAACAAAAGTTAAAGATATTCATAACTTCTTATAAAAAAATTTTAAAATTTAATTTGTCTTAATATAAAACAAATAGTAATTTAAGATGTTTTCTGAAACCTTGGTAAAAAGTAAAAGCAAAAAATTATATAGATAAATAAAATTTTTTTGAATAACTTGACTGTACTATCACACTCAAAACTTAAATTTTCATAATACTTTTTATAAAATTTTTTAATTTCGTCTTAAATAAAATTAGTCAAAAATTTAAAATTAAATGCAGAGATATTTAAGAAAATAAAAAATATTTTTTTTATAATTTATTATTAAATATATTTAAAAAATATGTTTAATATTATTTAAAAAAAAAAAACACTTTTCATAAATTTCATTTTTTTTAAAGATTAAAAAGGTAAAAAGTTCTATTAAAAAGGAAAAAGCGACCACCGCTCGCGGCTTAACGGTGCTGCCAAACAGTAAGATGTTATTAAAAACAAAAAGTTAACCCCAAAGCGATTTGATGGGCAAATCAAACTGCGTCAGAGTCATAAACAGAGGACTAACATACATGTCAAAGAAAATCTGGAGGCGCGCGTCGAAGCTCTGGTCGGAAACCTGCAACCAGAAATCGTGAAGCTCTTCCTTCGTTATTCTCGCAATCTTTTGTCTCCTTCTCCTCGCCAATGCATCAAAAATCCCCACCGTGAACTCCTTCGAATCCACCATTCCTGCATTCCAAACACCAAAAACGGTGAATATATATATATATTTTTTCGCTGTTGCCGAACAGAGTGTGGTTGCCGGACCTATGCATTCGCCGAAATCTTCTCGTGCAAGTAATCCGTCCTTGGCCAGGGACTTGAACCTCGACTCCACTTTTCTCCACTGATCGTCGGTGTCGTTTGTTCCAGTTGTCTTGTTTATGAATCTGAGCCCTTTGAGTGCTCTCTGCGCGCTTGATGTCGCTCTTTGAAGCTTGGCCTTGATTCGTCTCGCATCACGTGCGGTCATAGCGCTGTCTTCCACCTCCGACGTCGATGTTCTTGTCGAAACCGATCTTAGCCACGCGAATTTCCGTCGGATTATAGACGTTGCCGACAGGCTTCTTCCGAAAATACCCGTTGCAGGGGTTGTTTCGTTCTCTTCTCCTGTGGGAGTGGGAGAAACACTGCAAACGACTATAGAGTCTTGGTCCAGCTCCAATGTAACCTCAACGAGGTCCTCTCCGTTGTTCTGTCTCAAGTCGTTGAGGAAAATCGGCAACATTGCTCCTCCGACACCGTAGTCTTCTCTTTCATCCTCCATGTCGTCCGGTAAGTCGAACCTGCGGCCGTAGTCTAGCCTGGACCCGCTTCTTCCACACGAAGATGAGGACTTCATTCTCAGGTGCGTCATAGAAACATGCAGCTCCGTGGAGCGTCGTCTGCTTTATGTTTGATAATTTTCCTCTGTGAAGAATGTTGCAAGCACACAGACGTGACCTTGCAGGCCCTCACACTAGAGATTCAACGCAGTAGTTGTTTTTGTTATTGAAAAATTAGAAAAAAACAAGACCAACACCTCTCAACTGATCTTGCCCACGATTTCAACGCTTTCTGCCCAGTCATGCCCTGTTTAGAGTGGTTGAGATTTTACAAACAAGCTCCTCATTTATGAAAAAAAATCTCGAATCTTTATATATTAAAATGTTATTTCAATAACATTCAGATGAAAAAAGGCAAAAGTAAGAAGACAGAATGTATAAATTAATGCAACAATGTGGCACATAATTAAGAGAAACCAGAAAGATGTATTTATAAGATGAGATAATCAAAGTGGAAGGTGTGAGTTTCTAATGTGAGGATGAATTATATATTCCCTGCTATTACCTCAGCTATTCCTGTGGGTTCTTAATTGGAGCCCTGGTTTTTTGTTCAGATGCAATGTGATGTGAGCCCCGCTTCTAGAATGTCTATCAGCATGTTTGCAGTACTGCATTTTGTTTTCAAGTATTGCTTCTTACATTTTGTACTTCATCATGTATTTCTGGTCAAATGTGAACAAGTCTTGGCAGCCACGATCTGTATCACCTACTTTCCGTTTCTTTTGGTATGTAACTTGTCTTCGGTTGTTGTGTTTGGTTAATTTGTTTGTTAAACCAATTCGTCACTAAGTTATATACATGAATCTGAAAGTGAGACTTTGAAATTTGATATCAAGGTAAATACTTAAAAGTCAGTTCATTTTCACTCCTAATGTAAACAAACAATGGTGTAAAAGGATTACGAAGGTCGGAGGTTGAAAGTGAAATTAGATTTTGTACCCGTTATTGTATGGGTATGGGCATGGGCAGGGCAGTCTGATGAAAAGTAGACATGTTTAAAAATTATACGTAGGTGAAGACTCAAAGATAGAGGGCTGCTTTGCATTTTGATATTGAGTAGCAGTTGAGATGTAGGAGTCACCGTTTTCAAACTTGGGAGGGTGGGGGGGTGTCCTTCATGTTCAGGAAAAACAGTTGACTTGGCCTGCACTAGATATGATACATTATCATGAACCTTGTGTCTTGTTATTCTCTGGTTGTTCATCAATTAGCCTCTCATCAATTAGCCTCGTCCGTAGCTTTATGTCTCTTCTGCCTCATGATTAAAATCTTTCTACCCCATCTCCCAATTTTATTTTGAAGAGCCTCTTTAAGCACTCCAAGGTTTCCTTCTTTGTTAATACAATTATAGTTTATTTTTTAATTTTTTTTACTAACTTTTCGATATTTAAAAACTACATTAGATCCTAATTAATCTGAAATTGAATCGAGTCAGACCTCATACGAGAAAAACTCTCTTAACGCTTGTTTTTCCATTCACAATATTCAAAATCAAAATCTTACTTAAAGAAAAATCAAATTTTTTTCACTTAAATTAACAAATCATTGATTGATTATAGTTTAATTTAATGATATGAAATCTAATCAAAATCAAAATGGATTAAATTATGATGGTTTATGGGTTGGCATGCATGGATTACGTAATTGAAAATTGAAAATCATACATTGATGTTTGAAGGCAGACCTGTCAAAATAAACAAACGTTAATGGGAACACAATCTTCATTCTTTTCTGAATAATGATAGTAAAGACTAATTTTTAGAATTAAATTTTAGAACGAATTTTTTTTTTTGGACATGTAGAACGAATTTATATTAACTATTTATTATGGTGTGAACCCTATATAAGCCCACGTAATCAACTACTAAAATAATTTCATTTCAAAATTTTATTACAAAATTTAGTTTCAAAAATCATTACCCCTATTTTTTAGATGTTAATAGCAAGTAAAAAAGCAAACGCCTCACTAAATTGAGGGATGCCGTGCAATCATAGACCTGCTCTACCTGGCCCTGATTTGTTTAACCATTGTCTAAATCTTTTTGTGGTGGAGAAGAGGTTTAAATAAGAATATTAATTTTAATTTTTTTGATTTAAAAATATTAATTTTGTAATTTTTAAATAAAAATATTAATTTTTTATTTTTTATTTATTAATTTTTTCTATTTAAGATAAATGAAAATTTTAAAATATTAATATTTTTAAATAAAAAATTAAAAATTAGTAAAATTAACATATTAAAATAAAAAAATATAAAATTAACATCTTTATTTACATCTTTTTTTCTTTTTCTTTTTTGTTCTCTTGTGTCAACGTGTTGAAGTTTCTTTTATAATAATAAGAATGGTTAAATATTAGTTCTGAATTTTCCACGCCTTTCTTTGATTTGCAGTTTAACTCACTCAGAAATTTCCCAAATTTTATATGAAAGCCACAGCTGACCAGCACTCGTCGTTTTATATGAAGAAATGTTGGACGCAATTGCTAGATTGAGAGGTAAACCTCAACTAACATGATTTTGATATCAATCACAGAATAGTCAGTTCATGAAAGAAAAATGAAAGTAGACAAAGCAATGAAGACCACAGAATAAGACTAAGCAGCTGTCAGTAGATCCTTCTGTTCTGTTTCTCTTGTCACTCTCATGTTTTTCACCTTGGATTCAAGGTTTTTGCTTCTTTGGTTTTCATGGAAAAAAACACTGAGTTTTGGCCTGAAGAAAAGTAACTCAAATATTAATGGTCATATGTTTTCTTTAGATAGGAAGTTCTTAGGTTTAGTTTCTGATTGATTCATAATGAGAAGAAAGGAAACCAACCAAAATTTGTACTTTGGATGCAGTTTTAGTGCAGATAAAAATATTTTGCTTTCTTTCTGCCAAGACTAATGTTTGTACTCTTTCATTGTTCTGAGTTGGTTTTTTTTTTTTCATTGATTGCAAGGTTTCTTAAGAGTAATCTGCCCATTTTTAGGTGAAGCCGGGTAAGTTTTCCCAGCCTGGAATTTAGGTTGTGAAAAAACTGCATGGATTGACACAAGTTCCACCACATTATTACGTGAAAGCAACACAGATTTTCCCAAATTCCTGCAGTCACAGGCCTCTATTTAGTAAAGTCTTCATTACCAAGAAATTGCTCTATTCCTCTGTCCCTTTGAATCCTTTGATCCATTTGCTACTATAGTTCTATGTTTCAACCACAACTTGCAAGAGAATGAAGCAACAAGGAAATAGCTTGCTTTACTCCAACAACAACAGGTGGATTTTAACTATTTAAGGCCAAAGCAGATTTTGAGGATCATTACTCAAGTTCCAGATTTATTATGTAACTATCTAGAAATGACCTGCTTGTGAATTCTATGGCCATAAATTCGGGTGAATTTATGCTTTTATCTGCCCTTAACTAACACGTCTGACTAAGACCTCATATTAAGCAAGTTAGGTCCACCAGAACAAAGAAATTATTAGACCCGAGTAATTATAAAATTGAACCATACCATACTTTTGACATCATCTGTTCAGTTTCATGTTTATAAAAAGGAATCATTTGGAATTTAACTGAAACAATCAATACAAAAGCAATCTCTCAGGGACTAGATTCCTGTCTACCTAGTCCAATAAAATACAGAGGCAACAAAAGTGGATTGGCATATAATGCTTTGTATGTGCAGAACAATGCCTGGGGTTTTATTGGTCTAGTGTGCTTTTGGAACATACCCATCAACAGCAAAGTTTCGAGTGGCAGGAGGAATGGCTAAACGAATTCCATCAAGTTCAGGTTTTGCAATCACTTGACATCCCAATTGAGACCTGAAATTTGACAAGATAGAGCTTTTTAGACTACATTTCTTAGACAATGTTACAGGCTTACAGAAGGTTCATGATGAGGGAACCTACGTTTCTGTAAGCCCAAAAGCCAGATCCAACATGTCATTCTCCTCATCAGTTGGGTCCTCTAATTTGTTGTAGTACTCCATGTCCTACCATAGATGTCAATAATAAGTCCACAAAACTAGGTGCCACAATAAAATTCTTGTAATTTCCAAAAAGGATGGCACAATTAGCCAACCATCACTCCCACATGACATGTCAAACAGGCAAGTGAACCTTCACACCCTCCCGAAAGAAGAATACGATCTGACATTAAATCTTTCAACCATGGTGAAAAACCAGACATTAAATCATTGTAAAATATTTTTTTACAGGTTTTGGCAAAACCATTCCAGTCAATTTATAACACAATGGGACAAACAAGACAGGAGTCAGGGAACACACCCTGCCCGAAAGGTTGGAGCTATGAGCTATTGTGTTTCATGCAAATTGAATGTGCCAAAGAGAATTAAATCATTAAAAAGGCATTCAGTATCACTGAACTAACCACTCTTCAACTTCAAAAAAGTCCGAAGATGAGAAAGGACCAGATTTAAAGGAAAGCTGCGAATAATGGGAGTAAGAAAAGAATTAATCAAAATCCCTGCCTTCAAGTTCTATGTCATTTTCATGGGCAGCTTCCAACATAGACATTCCAATAGGCACCTTAATGTGTTTCTCTTCCCCTTCCTTATCAACAAATGTCACAGATATCCTGTAGAATAGAGCAGCTGAGTGAACAGGTACAGATATTATGCATTTCACGTTGATAACCACATTGTCTATCACTCTAGGTTCCAAAATTAACGAATGTCATAAACTAGAATTATCATCTATCTGTTGAAATTCCAAGAGGCACATTGTGTGGAAATGAGCAAAGATGGTATAGGCATTCCCAAAAGAACTTACGTTACTTTCTGTCCATTCTCCTCCTCAGAAGCATTGTTTGAAGCTAATGTACAGAAATCATGACTCCGCTGAAATATGGCCAGGGAAGTCTTCATTTCTGATGGCAATTTAAACTGCACACACACAAACAAAGTGAGGGCCATAGTAAAAACAGTTATGATGATGAGCTAAATGTGAAATCCTTTTCTAATAAAAATGGAATTTGATAAAATAACTTCCATTTCACAATTAAGGACCTCAAATAACAACTATTTTCTCCTGTTAGCTTCACTTAAGCTCCAGCTCTTAACACATAGATTGCTGACAAGGGCCATTAGTAAGCATAAAAGGCTATATATCAAAATCTTAAGCTTCTATTTCATCAATCACTTTGACTGGAAAGCCATAGCACTTGCATATCAAACCAAATAACCAAGGAAACAATGCAAGGAATCATAAAAAGAAAGATAATTCACCAGGGAGCACTGGTATTGATGGCAAGGCCTCTGTACATATCTTGTTGTAGATATGGTCAGGTATATGCCTGCCAAAATTAAGGTATACAATTGGGATTTTAAGTAAGAAATGTATTCTTCAGTTGCATTCTGAGTGTTCATCAAATACCAAAATAGAGATGTTACAGGCTGTAAGGAAGTTGCTTCGTAGTACAATCAGGCTCCAAACACTGAAAATGCTAATTTTTCATAACGAGATAATATAAAATGAATCTAAACTTGAAATTAGAAACATACTTCTTGACAGCTCATTGACAATTGAAGATCCAAGTCTTGAAAGCCTAGTTATTAACATTGTGGATGCACTTAATAAGCTCCTGTTAAGAGGTAAGCACAAAGGCGCTCAGAAAGATGATAGGTTGGAGCTCAGAAAAGACGCCGCCCAGGTCGCAAGTATCTTTCTTTAGTTCCAATTTAGGAACTTTTAGTCTGGCCGGAAAATGGGTCACCGAGTTTCATCGACGGTGAAGACAGCTGCTTCAGTAAAAGAGAAAGAAGAAGGCGGCTAGCCGCCAAGCGGAGGGTTTGGAGACGATCCGCAACCCCTAACCCAGTTGATTGAACGCACCTTCTAGGAGGTACCGAAAGGAACAGGAAAATAATCAATGGAAAATATAGCAAGTCAGGATACCAACTTTTCCTGATTTCCTAATCCCTGACACAAAATTTAGTTTTCCGCTAAGGGCAACCTTTAAGTTTTCCTATTACAATATTGTTTAGGTAGTATCACGAACCCACTGTAAAGATCAACACTAAAAAGTAAAAACACCTAAGGACATTTTTTTGGAGAAGATGCTTGAGTTAGCAATATTTTATAACCTAAAAGGAGAACCTTTCAAGGAAAGTTATTGTAAATAAAAAAATACAATGGAGCTATTACCTTATATGATATGACTGTAAAAAGAGGTATTTATAACTTCTATTAATAACAGAGTGTTTCACTTATAATCACTTAGTTAATTCAAGTGTCTTCAATCACTTGAGTACATCTTGGTGAATGTGCTCACACCATTGAACTTTCTTTGGTCCCTAACTTGTTGAGTTTATTTGGGGTTGTTAATTAGACTCATTATTGATATTAAGTTTATTCTTCAATAAATATAAATAAAAAATATTGTATAATTTAAACAACACCAACACCAACACCATATCACACAACTCAATGGGTGAGAATAGACTCTCTAAAATTAGATATTATGTCTTATCTAATAATTTTTATTATGCATTTGAAAGGCAAAATAGGAGAAGTTTAGAGGGAACCGCTCACATGCCTCCTAGTTGTGGCGGTAGTGATTAGCCGATTAGGTACCATATAAGGATGGCCCAAATCAAAGACATTTTCGTACAGGAGGTCTAAACTAATAAATAGGAAACCCATGAGTTTAGAAGCCCATTTTCAAGTTCCAGACAATCCAGTCTCCTTCTCTGCCAAAACAGGAGGTCTAGAGTCTAAACTCTAAACTAAACGCTGATTCCTTTGTTGCGTTTGGTTTGCAGCCTCTGAAACAGAATAACAAACCGTTCGGGTGAAATCACCCTCTTTTCTTTCATTAATACCGCTTCTCTCCCTAATTGCGTGGCCACTTCATGCCACTCAAGAAATTATTCAAAACCCAGCTCAAATCCATGGCTTCATTTCAATAAAACCCCTTTCTCCAAAGAAAATCTGTTGCCTATGCGTTCTTCTATGGGCTTGGGGAGGCTCACAATCAGCAAACCCATCTATGTCTACACACCCGTTACTCGTCCCTTAACCTGCGTTACATCCACTGCCCACCGCAGCCTCCAAACTCAACAGGACCTCCAACAGCTGCCATTGAAGCAACTGGCGTGTTCTAATCCGAATTTGGTAAAGTTGGTATCTTCTATTCTCTCAAAACGATCTCTTGATTCTTCCAGATGCAGACAGCTCTTACCCGGGCTGTCTCCTTATGAATTTGATCGCCTTCTATTAGATACTCGATCCAATGTGAACCCCAAAACGGCTTTGAATTTCTTTTACTTTGCATCAAAGTCGTTCAATTTTCAATTCACGGTTCGATCTTATTGCGTTTCGATACGTTTGCTTCTTGTTTCCAATCTTTTAGCTCCAGCAAGGTTGCTTTTGGTTCGTTTGATTGATGGGATGATGCCAGTTTTTTCTGTGAATAGTCCTAGCGTTAGACATGTGGACATTGCTATAATGATGGCAGATTTAAACACAACTTTTGAACCAGGTATTGGTGTTAAGTAGCTGATTTGGTGGTACATGTTTATTGTAGCCAGTTCATGAATTTGGGTTTAGGTCATGCTGTCGATGTGTTTCTGTTGCTGGCAAAGAAGGGTATCTTTCCTTCTTTGAAGACTTGCAACTTTTTGCTGAGTGCTTTAGTGAGGGCTAATGAATTGCAGAAGAGTTATGAAGTGATTGAAATGATGTCTCATGGTGTCTCTCCTGATGTTTACTTGTGTAGTATTATGATTAATGCATTCTGCAAGGGAGGATGAATTGAGGATGCATTTAGATTGTTTTCTGAGATGGAAAAATTGAATCTAGCTCCAAATGTTGTTACTTACAACAGTATCATTAATGGATTATGCAAGAGTGGGAGGTTGGGTGAGGCATTTCAACTTAAAGACAAGATGACAAGTGAGGGTGTGAAACCAAATGTTATAACATACAGTGTTCTTATAAATGGTTTGATTAAGTTGAATAAATTAGATGAAGCAAATTTTGTTTTGGAAGAAATGTCTGATAGAGGGCTTGTTCCAAATGAGGTTGTATACAATACATTAATTGATGGCTATTGTAAATTGGGAAAGATTAATGAGGCACAAAAGATTAGGACTCACATGTCATCAAAAGGTTTCAGTCCAAATTCTGTGACATTTAATTCACTTATACTGGGTTTCTGCAGGAGTGGTCAAATGGAGCATGCTGAGCATTTGTTAGAAGAAATGCTATCAAGAGGATTATCCATGAATGAAGGTGCATATGCATCAGTAATTTACTTGTTATGCAAGGAGTCTAGGTTTACCTCTGCACTACGTTTCATTGGGGAAATGCTATTTAGAAATTTAAGGCCCAAGGATGACTTGCTGACTAAGTTGGTCAGTGGACTTTGTAAGGAAGGGAAGCATTCAGAGGCAACTGAGCTTTGGTTTAAGCTCTCAGAAAAAGGGTTTGTACCCAACACTATGACTTCAAATGCTTTAATTCATGGCTTGTGTGAGGCAGGTAACATGCAAGAAGCTGTAAGGGTTCTAAAAGAGATGATAAACAGGGGCTTGGAATTGGACAGGATCTCATATAATGCACTGATTTGGGGATGTTGCAAAGAAGGTAAAACAGAAGAAGGTTTTAAGCTCAAAGAAGAGATGATAAAGCAAGGAATTCATCCTGACATATATACTTACAATTTGCTACTTCTTGGACTCTGTAATGTGGGTAAAGTGGAAGAAGCTGTTAAGCTTAGGGATGAGTGCACTAGAAATGGTATTGTTTCTAGTATTCATACGTATGGGATCATTATTGCTGGATACTGTAAAGCTGACAAGATTGAAGAGGCTCAGAATCTGTTTGATGAGTTGGTTAGTGAAGAAGTGGAGGTAAACACTGTTCTCTATAATACAATGATCAGAGCTTACACTAAAAATGACAATATTATGGCAGCTTTTAAGCTTCGTGATGACATGAAAAGAAAGGGCATACAACCAACAATTTCCACATATTCTTCTCTAATACATGGCATGTGCAACACAGGCCTAGTTGAGGATGCCAAGCGACTTCTCAAGGAAATGAGGGTGGAGGGCTTATATCCCAATGTTGTCTGTTATACAGCACTCATTGGTGGTTGTTGTAGGTTAGGCCAAATGGACATGGTAGGGAAGATCTTGCAGGAAATGTCTTCATATAATGTGCAGCCAAACAAAATAACCTATACAGTTATGATTGATGGGTATTGTAAATTAGGTACTATGGAACAAGCAGCTAAGCTTCTGAATGAGATGAAAGAGAATGGTTTGGTACCTGATTCTGTTACTTATAATGTCTTTATGAATGGGTTATGCAAGGAAGGGAGGGTGGAAGATGCTTTTAAAGTATGTGATCGTATGTCTTGTGAAGGAATAAATGAAGATGAGATTACATATACTATATTGATTCACGGGTGGAGTCAGCTGTCAGCAGTCACAAATCAAGAATGAAAGGAGCTTTTGAATGGTCAGTGCTTAATTTCTGTTTAGATATTCTTCTTATGGATTGTTGCATGAAACCTGTTTCATTCTAGTTTAATACGAAGTCCTTTTAGAAAGCTGGTTTAATGTGTGGATGTCATTTACTTTGCATTTTCTATCTTAGGAAAGCTTATTTGATCACTGGTGAGCACCGGACAGCAGTTGTTTGTTGTCATTTCTCAAACTTGATAGTGGTTATTGAACTGCAGCGGGATATTTCTTATTCTAAGAATGTACCATCTCTGTCTGCACTCTGCAGATTGCTGTCACTACGTTCTGGTAGACATATTTTTATGAGATTATATTTTGTGGGTTTTCTTCAAAATTATGGAATTATTTGCAACTTGCTTTTGAACTTACAGGTCAGCTGCCCATAGACAGTGGACTATATTGGCACATATATTGCTTGCAGCATCATTCTTGGACTAGGTTTAAGGTAACTCTCTAGTGGTTTTAATTGCTTCTACCAGTCTTTTTATTTCAAGTTCAACTAATTCTGTAATTTGTATTTTGACTTGTTATTTAGGCTGAGTTTCACTTGTATGACTATATATGCCTGAATGCCTCCAAATGCCTATTGAAAGGAGAAGGTGGTTAAATTTTTTCCTTCTAGGACCCAGCAATGTTGCTAATTTGTGTGCTTAATATATACTTGATATACTCTCGTCCTAAAAAGTTACCATAGAGATCTTAAGGGAGCATTTTAATGCATATCTGACACATTTTAGATGTAGGATCTTAGAGTCCTGTTTATAGTTATATCTGTAGTTGTTATTACTCCACACTTCTTTTGAGTTTTACATACACTGCTGATCAATGGAATAAAAATATGCTAAAAATGGCTCTTCTAATTTAGGACTATATATGTTCGTGGTCGCCTTTGTTAAAATCACAGAAGTAACGATGGAAGAGCGGTTTGGTATATATACCTCTTGCAAGTGCAAAAATGAAACTGATGGTGCCAGATTGTTCAAGGCTTCAATGTGATCAAATGCCAGAAACTCATTTGACTATCCTGTTAAAGATGCAAGTTTTTAAAGTTATGATGTGAGTATGGCTGAATCAGTTTCTTATTTAAATGATATTCTTCTTTGACAGTTCAGTTACCCTTAATGCTATTTCAGGCCAGAGAAACAGTACCATTTCACCTGTTTAGATGGATTGGCTGAAGATTTTTTGTGGGTCAAGGCTCATTAACGTCATCTACTAATAAACACTCAAAGAAGATAATCCAGCAAAACAAATGAAAAGAACAGGAGACATCTTGTTTGTATACGGAAAATATCAAAACTCGTGGTCGAGAATTCGAGTTGAAGATGTCATGTTCGTGTTTGAGATTATACATAATGACTAAAGAAATTGGAGGAATACTGTTCTATTGTATAGCGTACCAAAAAGAAAATTCAATTCCAAAATTATGTAAAATTTGGCCTATAAACTATAAAATAAAAAACAGCCCTTAGCATAAGGCCTTATAGCTTAGTTAGTAGGCGTACTTAATATTTTGATAGGTACAAAGGTTAAAATCATAATAATATTGTATAATTTATTAAGAACTTAAATAAGTTAGTAATCAATTTTTTTTGTTAGATATAAAAGATTTTAAGTTAAAATTGCATGACATGTGAGTAAAATAAAATAAAAATATAAAAAATAGTTATTTTTATTATAAAATTAAAATAAAATAAAATAATATAAATATCTTCTTTTTTTTCTTATTCAAAATGGTAACCGTTTGAAAAAATAAATAAAAATAACAAATAAAAATAAAAACCAGCCTATGTAGCTGTCATCAATTTTGGAAAATTAAAGGCTGATATTTATTTATTTTTGGTTTTATTCTGCAAAACTAAATTAGTAGTTTCTTACCTTTTTTATTCTAAAATGACGTTATTATTATTATTTTTTAATTTATTCCTCATATTAAAAGAAAAAGATAATAGTATTTATCAATTTTATCTTTTAAAAATTAAAAAAAAATATTTTAAAATTACATTATTTTAATAAATTTTTATTAAAAAAAATCAAATTATTATCCTTTTAAAATATATGTGATTTTTTTTTCTCTTAATTTTTTAAAAGTAAGACAAACAAACACAAAGCAAAGAAAAAACTTTCCAACAGAAAGCAACAAATTCCCTGAGAAAAACATTAGCAGGAAAGTGAAACAAAATTAAACGTTAACGTTCAATCGAGGATCAACCTCGATCCTAGCAACTCCGTCTCCATCCGCCGCCACCTTCGCCACCTCCACTTCACCCACCACCATCCCCGTCGCGTTACCGTCATCCGCCTCCTCATCTACATAATTAGGGTCGCCCTCATCAATTGCCGCTGGGGCAGCGTCTAACTCGTTGTCCAACACGTCTGCAGGGCCCTCCCAGGTGTACTTGCCACCATGGCCAGCCTTGGGCAGCAACCGACTTAAATCAATCCCGTTGGCCGGGCCGCCGGGTGTCGATCCAGGCCCTGCATCCCCTTGTCCTCCAACTTCTTCTCTACGTATATGATGGTGTCCATGTTGTGCGAGTAGACTTCCGTCTTCTCCACTTTCTTCCTACCCTCTTCGTCGCGGCTCACCGCCCGGATGACCACCGGACCCTTCTTGCTGTCCTCGTTTTTGTTGTCAATTGGTT